GCCTTAAGACTGGGTACTTCTTGAACTGGTATCTGAATGAAATTTGCTAACCCCTTTGAATATCAGTTGAAGAAAATATATGTAATAATAAAATAATTGTAAAATGAGAAATAAATGTTGTAAAATTAGACTATCCCTTTATAGCCTCTGAATTTTTTATTTGATTTTAGATGATTATTTTCATTTCATAATGTCCCAGAAATATAATCAATGACTTCAGAAAACAACACTGTCTATATATAGAAAGAGCACCAAAAGTTAAAGTGTAGTGACTAAATGTTTAATGACAGTGGCAGTGTGGAGAATATAACATGCATGAATAGACTACTCTTTAACCACCATTCTTTATTTCATATTAAACTTAAGCAATTGAAAAGATTCCCCTTCCAAATCAAATAAGATGAAGGCATTATTTTTAAGATACCTTAAAATTTTCCTAAGTCACTACTAATAATCAACAGCTCAGAGATTATTAGTATTATTATTAAGGAATAATCTTAATGATTTTAGGTGTGTGTGTGTGTGTGTGTGTGTGTGTGTGTGTGTGTGTGTGTGGTGTGGTGTGGGTATGTAGGTATATGTAGGTGTCCTTTTCTTGTTCCTGATCTTAGAGGAAACACTTTCAGCTTTTCACTGTAGAGTATGATGTTATCTGTGGGCTTGTCCTATATGGCCTTTACTATGTTGAGGTACGTTACCTCTATACCCACTTGTTGACAGTTCTTATAAACGGATATTGAATTTTTTCAAATGTTTTTTCTGACTCTATTGAGATGATCATATGATTTCTATCCTTCATTTTGTTAATGTGGTATACCACATTGACTGATCTGCAGATGCTGAACCAGCCTTGCATCCCTGGAATAAATCCCACTTGATCATGGTGTATGATCTTTTCAACATATTGTTCAGTTTGGTGTGCTAATATTTTGTTGAGGATTTTTTGCATCTATGTTCATCAGGTATACTGACCTGTAATTTTCTTTTCTTGGGGCATCCTTGTCTGGTTTGTTATCAGGATAATGCCGGCTTTGAAAAATGCCTTTGCAAGTATCCCCTCCTCTTCTATTTTTTGGAAGAGTTCAAAAAGGATTGGTGTAATTCTTCTTTGAATGTTTGGTAAAACTCACCAGTAAAGCCATCTGGTCCTGGACTTTTGATGACTGCTTCAATTTCCTCACCAGTACTCAATCAGTTCGGAATTTCTATTTCATCATGATTTAGTCTTAGAAAACTGTATGTTTCTAGGAATTTACCCATCCCTTCTAGATACATCTTGTTGGTGTAACATGGTTCACAGTAATCTCTTATGATCTTTTGTATTTCTATGGTATCAGTTTTAACATTGACTCTTTCATTTCTGATTTTGAGTCTTCTCTCTTTTCTTGGTGAGTCTAGCTAAAGGTTTGTTCATTTGTTTATCTTTTTTTTTTTTAATGTTCAGTTAGCCACTGTATAGTATATAATTAGTCCTTGATGCAGTGTTCAATGATTCACCAGTTAAGCATAACACCCAGAGCTTATCACAGCACATGTCCTCCTCAATACCCATCACCTTGTTACCTTCTCCCCCACCCTCCTCCCCTCTGAAACCCCCAGATTGTTTCTTGGGGTCCATAGTCTCTCATGGTTCATCTCCCTCTCTGATTTCTCCCCCTTTGGATTTCCCTCCCTTCCCCTATGGTCCTCCGTGCTACTGTTTATGTTCCACATATGAGTGAAACCATATGATAATTGTCTTCCTCTGTTTGACTTACTCAACATAATCCCCTCCAGTTCCATCCATGTTGATGCAAATGGTGGGTATTCAGCATTTCTGATGGCTGAATAATATTCCATTGTGTATAGGTACCACATCTTCTTTATCCATTCATCTTTTGAAGGGCATTTCGTCTCCTTCCACAGTTTATCTTTTCAAAGAACTAGCTCTTACTTTCATTTATTTTCTCTTTGGACTTTCAATAGACAGAGTCAGACACATTTCTAAAGTTCTGAATTAATATCTTCTAGATATAATAGTCCATAGTTGAAACTTCTAGAAATATTCTGGTGCTCAGAATATATATATTATATAATAACAGATTTTTGGGTCTAGGAAAGCTTACTATTTTATAGAAGGATGATTCATTTGTATTAGAAAATTATAGAGCATGAAATGATTTTTACTAATGTAAATTCAAGAATAAAACAAACTAAACTCTATCATCTAGCACCTAATTACATTAGTCCACAAAAAAGTTAGTTTACGTCCCTGTCAGAAAATTATATCTTGTAGAGTAGCTGGTGATGAGTAACACAAAATTTTAACAATTCTAAGAAGTAATGCACAAATTATCTTCCTGTGTTATTCCAGTTGTATACTCTAATAACTAATACTTTTTACAAGTTTTAAAAATTTTTTGATAAGAGAATTCAGCAACAGAGTAAATATGATCACATAATGTCACAAACAGTACTTCACAAGTGTTCTCAAACTTACTTCAGAACCTGGTTTAGTGCAGGTACACCAACAATATTTGTTGAATAAATGAAATGTGGAGTCCAAAAAAAAAAAAAAAGAATCTTGCAAACTCAAAAAATTACCTAATCTTGCACACACAGAAATAATTCTCCAATAACCTACACCAGATCAGGAAAACCCCTAACTTAATCCCAGGAATTCCTTAAAAGAAAAAAAATCACAAAATCAAAATAAAACTAAAGGGTTATTTCTAGCATAGCCTAAATGTTCTTATAGGTCTCAAGAATTACAGATTTGGAGGAAGATAGTTTATTCTGAGTAGAGAGGATGAGATATCTCCTTCAGAGAAAAATATGAAGGAGCTGGCTGTCAGCACAGACATTTCTAAATTGACTTATTAGATAAAACACTTCTCTTTATTTTCTTCTTTCACTCACAGCTATTTCACTGTCTTTTCAGTCATTAAAAGTAAACAAAATGGATGAAAGGCAGAATTCTGGTCTTGTATCTAGAAGGAAATCCAGCTGTCACATTCAATCATAGAACTAGGCTAAGCTAAGAAGCTGAAGCTGAACATTCCCTTACCTCACTTTATAATATTCAGCATGCAAAGGTGGTTGGTTTACAACTAAGCTACCTCAGCAATACACAATTAGTATTCACAAATTCACAAATAGTATTCACTATACATTGAGTTACTTTACAAATATTTAACTATACCCAGATCTATAGAGTATCTATTAAACATTACTTATTAAAATTGCCATGCCCTTCAGTGAAACCTATACCAAAGGATCAGATAAGTAACAGATAAAATAAATGAGTCCTTTGTTCTCAGAGTTCAGCATGAATAAAACAATATTCTGCACTTTTTGTGTGTCAATACAGACAACAGTAAGAAAATGTTTCTTCTAATAGCTTTGGGGGAAGGAAGTAGGTATATGGTTGTGAGAGGGATGGAATGGGAAATTTGTATTTTTTTAAATCATAAAACCAAATAGAAATAATGATTCCCTAAAATGGTTCAAAGTTTCATTGGTTGATGATCTTGAATTTTTTTAAATGGAGTTTATTTTTCAGAGCATCTCCAGGTTCACAGAAAAATTCAGTGAAAAATAGAGTTTCCATATAACCCTTGCCTCCATATACACACAAATCCTGCCTCCACTATCCACATCCCACAACAAAGTGCACATTTGTCACAAGTCATTATCCAAAGTCCAGAGTTTACATTAGGGTTAACCAAGGTTTTATACATTCTATGGGTTTTCACAAATGTATAATGACATCTATCCACCATTATAGTATCATACAGAATAGTTTCACCTCCCTAAAAATTTCCTATGCTCCGCCTGCTCATCTCTCCCTGTTCCTCAATATCTAGAAAGCACTGATCCTTTCACTGTCTCCATAGTTTTGTCTTTTCCAGAATGTCATAAAGTTGGAATCATACGATGTACAGTCTTTTCAAATTGGCTTCTTTCACTTAGTAATATGCATTTGAGGTTCTGCCACATCTTTTTTTGGCTTGATAGCTCATTTCCTTCTAGTATTAATTAATATTCCATTCTCTAGATGTACCATAGTTTATTTATCTATTCACCTGCAAAAGACATCTTGATTGCTTCCAAGTTTTTGGCAATAATGAATAAAGCTATGATAAACATCTGTGTGCAGGTTTTGGTGTATATACAATTTTCAAATGATTGGATAAATCCCAAGGAGCGTGATTGCTGGACTGTATGATAAGAGTATGTTTACTTTTGTAAGAAACTATCAAACTGTTTCCAAAGTAGCTGTACTATTTTGCACTCTCACCAACAAAGAATGAGAACGCCTATTGCTCCACATCCTGACCAGCATTTGGTGTTATGAATGCCCTGGATTTCGTCCATTATGATTGGTATCTCATTGTTGTTTTAATTTGCATTTCCCTGATGACATATGATACGGAGCATCATTTCATATGCTTGTCATCTTTATGTCTTCTTTGCTAAGGTATTTGTTCAGAACTCTTGACCATTTTTTAATAGCATTGTCTGCATAGATGTTTATGAGAGATGTTGGTCTGTTGTGTTTATGGAATTTTTTGTCTGGTTTGGTATTAGGGTGATGCTGGAAAGCATTTTCTCAGGCTTCTAAATTCTAAACATTTTCTTCTGAACAGGTCTTCTGAATATCTATCTTCTGCAACATTTTAAGCAAAACTATGGAAGACTTCTATCTTCCAAGAAAGAATATATATTTTTCATATTTATACATGTTATATATTTATATATTTTCATTATAATTATATATTTATATATACTTATATTATATACTATATATTTATATATTGTATTTTCATATATTTATATATTATATATATTTATATATATATAAAACAAGCCTCAACTATATGCAACTATATGCAGTTTATAAGAGACTCACTTCAGATTTAAAGACACACATAGACTGAGAGTAATGGGATGGAAACAGTAAGCAAAAGAGAACAGGGGTACTCTTTCCCTCCCTGGCTGCTTGAAGCTCGGCTGCTATCATGAACGACACAGTAACTATCCAAACCAGGAAGTTCGTGACCAACCGACTACTTCAGCAGAAACAGATGGTCATTGATGCCCTTCACCCTGGAAAGGCAACAGTACCTAAGAGAGAAATTCGGGAAAAACTAGCCAAAACATACAAGACCACACCAGATGTCATATTTATATTTGGATTCAGAACCCATTTTGGTGGTGTCAAGACAACTGGCTTTGGCATAATTTATGATTCCTTGGATTATGCAAAGAAAAATGAACCCAAACACAGACTCGCAAGACACGGCCTATATGAGAAGAAAAAGACATCAAGAAAACAGCAAAAGGAATGCAAGAACAGAATGAAGAAAGTCAGGGGGACTGCAAAAGCCAATGTTGGTGCTGGCAAAATGTGAGCTGGAAATTGGACAAGAGAAGGAGTAAAGATGTGGCCAGTGGCCTTATCTGTGGTGATTGTGCAGATTTTTCATGAGAGGATTAATAAACTAAGAATGTTTTTAAAAAGAGAGAGCAGGGGTAGCTATATTTATATCAAACAAAAGGGACTAAATCAATTTGGTCACAACAAAGAAGGATATTATATAATGATAAAATGGTCAATTCATTAAGATGATATAACAACTGCAGATACATCTGCACCCAATATCAAAGTACTTAAAACATTAAATATTGAATTTTTTTAATATTAAAAATAAAGCAAATATATATATTGTGGCAATGGTATCTTGGTGTGGCAATGGTATGGGTGTATGTGTATGTCCAACCTCATCAAATCATATACATTAAATATGTGCAGCTTTTTTTGTGAATACAATGATACCTCAGTAAAGCCGCTTTTAAAAAAAGAAAACAAATGAACAACAAAATGGGGACAAATCAAAAAAGTGTTTAACTGTAGAGAACAAACTTGTGGTTACCAGAGGGGAGGTGAATGGGGGAGGATGGGTGAAATAAGTGAAAGGAATTAAGAGTATACTTATCATGATGAGCACTGAGTATTGTATAGAATTGCTGAATCACTGTACTGTACACCTGAAACTAATATAACACTGTATGTTAACTATACAGGAATTAAAATTTTTAAAATTAAAAAATAAGTTAAATGCCAATAGAAATAAAAGAAATATATCCAACACTCAATAAAGTAAAAATTCACAATGGTTGACATCCAATAAAAAATTAGTAGGCATGCCAAAATGCAGAACAATACAACCCATAATAGGAGAAAAAACAATCAACAGAAAACAAACCACTACTAATAGAGATACTGGAATTAGCAGATAATAACATTAAAATAGTTATAACTTCATCCCATGTGTTCAAAAAGTTCAGTGGAGGGGTGCCTGGGTAGCTCAGTCAATTAAGCATCTGCCTTAGGCTTAGGTCATGATCTCAAGGTCCTGGGATTGAGCCCCATGTCGGGTTCTCTGCTCAGTGGGAGTCTGCTTCTCCTCTGCCTCTCCCCCCAGCTCATGCTCTCTCTCTCTCAAATAAATAAATCTTTAAAAAAAAAAAAAGTTCAGTGGAGCCATAGAAGTTATTTTTTAAGACAATGCAAACTGAACTTTTAGAGATGCCAACCACAGAGTCTGAGATGAAAATACACTGAATGAGGTTAATTAAATATTAGATTTTGCCAAAGGAAAAAAAATAGTGAACTTCAAGACTTAGCAACAAAAACTATGCAAACAAAACACAAGGGAAAAAAAGTCAAGTAAATAACTAAAACACAACATCAGGGAGCTGTGGGACAGCTTCAAGTAGCTTAACAGAAGTATACCTAGAGTCTCTATAAAGGCAGAGGACAGAAGACATATTTAAAGAAATAATGGTTGAATTTTGAAGGAAAACAAACTTGGCCTTGGAGCTGCAAATACATAGTCTTGCTCTAAGAGCTCACAGTCTAAAAAGAGAAATGCACATTTAAAATAACCTCAATAAAATTTATATCTATAATAAATATATGCACGGAGGTAAGATTTCACAAAGAAGGTTACTGCTAAGTAGGATTTTTAAAGATAAACTGAAATTTGGCAGGAAAAGAAGTCATGGAGATAAGAGAATGGCCAAAGAGAGGACACTCCAATCAAAACAGGGTATCAGCAAGAGCACTGAAATGAAAAGCTGCAAAGTGTCCAAGGAAGGGCAAGTTCAGCACTGTTGGGACATGGATAGTAAATATGGACAGTCATATGGAGAGGGGCAATGGATTGGAGTTAATCACTAGCGTAAAGATGAAGACTATGATGACTTCTGCATTCTCTGCTAAGGTGCTTATTCTGAAAGCCATGGGAAGCTATTTCCAGGTTTAATAGGAAGGTGGCATGGTTAATAAGATTTGCATTTTAAAAGGTTAGTATAAGCCACACACGGAGGTACCAGGACAAGACAGAAGCTGCTACAAATGGTCAAAACTGGAGACAACGGCGGTTTGGAACTAAGGCAGGACAATGGAGTGATAGAAGAAAGGTGATGTTTCAGGACAGGTCCCTGTTGATATTCAGGAGCTAAAATCAGTAAGCATGGATTATTTGTTGATTGTGGGAGATAAAGAAGGAATCAAGAAAGACTTCTGGATGCCACATATGTACTACTTAGAAACATAAGGATAAACTGCAGACCTTCTCTTTGTCTTCTAGGCTGAAGTTTCCTCCATTTTTTCCCTAATTGTCACTCCATCTGCTTTCTGCCTTCCAGATATGTGTTAAAATATTTTATTTGTTCAAGAAACACTTCTCCACTCTTCTCATTGTGTTTATTTCATTAATCATTACCCATTCTCATTTTAACATTTGCATGGGAGGGAGATGTGTTCAAATGAATGGACTTCATCTGCCATCTTGAACTGATACACTTCATAGCAGGTAGTCAGGGAAAATTAAATTGTGCCTAATCCAGGACTGAGCCCTGGTGAAGCACATTTATTTAATGATGGAAAAATTATGTCTATTGCTTGGCAGATATTTCAGGGTGTATTTTATTCTTGGTTTTAAATTTCAGTAGTATAATCATCATGAATATTACTGGTCAGATTAGTACGAATTTCTAGAAGTGGAATATTTCATCCACATTTATTTTCTACCATTTATTTTGGTTTTATTTCTCTTCATTTAAGCAAGAACAGCAACCTGTTCATTTCCACTTCAGTCCAATATCAATGTCCACTTCAGAGCACATCTCCCTTCCTCACAACAAAGCCTTTGCTGAGCTCAGGTATCATGGCTAGTGACCATGTGGAATGGGAAGGGCAAGAGAAGCAGCCAAAGGGACAAGAAACAGCTGGAAACCATTGAAGAAATTTATAGAAATAAAAGCATGCAGAATAAAAGAATATGACTAATGCTTACTATCCAGTGTCACAAAATATTTTGGAAGTTCTAAGTTGTCTTTTCCTGAGTAACAGCCCTAAAAATCTATGTCCACTGTCTACTTTAAATCTTTTCTGGAATGAGGACGTGTCATGCCTACACATGAACTAAGTCAAAACAGAATAGCAGTCATCAAAAAGACTAAAATCTTACTGTGCAAAGGACAAATGAAGGTTTCCTTTGACAACAAAATGGCTCTGACTTGATATTTTGTTGATTTAGTGTTTTGACTTTTGAAATCCAGTTTGAGAACTCTAGTGCAGACCAGTTGGAAACCATAAGATGCATGAGTTCAGGGATTCTTGAAGGTCAATTGCTCTTCAAATTCCCCACTATTTTATGAAATTGCCTCTCCAATTTCTTTGTACCTCCAACAACAACAGAACTGTATTGGCCAAGACAGAGTAACTTCCTGTCAGATACCACCAAATGAAAATAATGGCACCACTAATATTCACATAGGAAAATATGAATTTTGCCTTCACGGATAATATTACTGTTCCAAGTACATCAGAAACCACGTCTTGTTCCGAATACTTACTACCAACCACCCTGAGTATCCTGCTGGCATCATGAGGCTTCCATCATTATACTAGTGGAACACAACATGTCAGGTTGGCCAAGAAGATAATGTTTTTCCACCAGATTTTCAGAGCCCCACTTTAATGAGAAAAGAAAGGATACTTCAAAATTCTAATACAACTTCGACTTGATTCAGTGACTCCTGAAGGAGAAAAAGGACTTCTGTGGATAGGATGAGAGTTTTGTACTGTAATTATTTTGACCAAAAGGAAAACAGCACCTGCTGAATTTGTTTCCACCCTCCAGTCATTAAACCAAAATGTTTTTTATTCATTCCATGAAAAAAAATATATACCTCTCACAACCAAAATAACTGTAGAGAAAACAAATCCATATGCATGTGTGCGGCCTCTGTGAGAGGAATGTTGAGATTTTAAGGCTCTTGACTAAGACCTGTCTGTTAGCCAAGCCACCACCATCCCAACACGTATAATTAGTGATAAGGATGCTTTGTCCATGATTCTCTAACTAATCATATCAACTCATAGTCATTATAAAGATTCCAGAGTCTTTTTCTAAAAGAAATATAGCATTTCTCTATCTCTGGTGTTTGGGCATGAGACAGATTTTAATATTTAATGAGTATCTACTATGTTCCCAAAAATTATGCATGCTGTTTTGTATGTTATTTCATTCAAATACTATGGCAATCCTATGAGGTAAGTGGTATTATTCCCATTTAACAAAGATGCAAAACTATACTCAGACAGATTTGATAACTTACCAAGTCCAACAGCTAACAAATGGCAGAGCTGGGATTTGAACTTAGGTTGATTAATTATCTATACATGATCACAATGCCTCCTCTGGGCTATAATACACACAGTTCTTTTATTTTCTAGTTGTTTTCCCCTGTTTTCACTCACAGATCCTTGTATGTTTCTTAATAATTCTTACCTAATTTCTTCTTATTTCATGTATTTGTTGGTTCCAATGTTTATTGTCCCTATCATCTGCCAGACTGTAATCAATTCAATGGCTGAAACCATGTCTGTCTTTTTCATCTTTGTATCCAAAGCACCTGACAGAACAGTCAGAACTCCGTAAATACTTGCTGAAATTAAAGAATAAGTAGATATTCCCCTTGGTGAAACTACTAATCTAATCTAATCTAAACACTAATCTACTCATACCTTCCCTAATTGTGCCATGCTCATTTTGCCTCTGCAGTTTGGCTCTCATCACTCCACATTCTTGGAAGATAACCTCAAGTCTTCTCTCCCGCATCCAACCTTTACTGAACTACCAACACACAGCACAAGGCCTCTCTCATTCTAAGAATCATTCCTGTCCATGGTGAAATGCTGAGTCTCCTCTGTCTCTGGATTCACATAACTTATTTTCTATTCCATTCATCTAATGTTGCTTTGTAAACTCATTTTTTGGTGTGTAGTTTATCTTATGAGTGTGGGGGGTTTTTTTTCACGTCTAAATTAAAAGACACA